CGGGATACAAACTTAATCCGTTCCGTGACTCTGGGCGTATCCCGAGTTGGTCGTAACCCGAAAAGTTCGTTAGTAGAGGCGTTCGTATCCCGAGGTACCACTGTAATAGATAGGCCGCTTCACTGATTTAAGCTTAAATAGCCAACTCAGAATTTAGCAGTCCTCCTCTAGAAGGCCGAATTGCAGAAAAATCAGTGAAAAGTCAACATTGTGATTTGCTTTGTGGAAAGTTTTGCTATACTAAAAAAGTAATTATTGACTCTATGATATGCAGGAGGAGAACAGAGTGGAGAAAACTAAAATGAACAAAAATGTATTTTATTTTGTCCTCCACGCTGTGAGACTGAAATTGTAAATGTGGTTTTTTAGTGAACTGGGCTATTGCAATATTATTTGTTAGAAATATAGCAAGTCCCACAATGTTAATGTTTATTTAGCTTTTTAAGATTCAGTACAGCTTTCCCAGGTTTTGGTTCATATTACTGTTGGTTAAGACATGGCAACTGAAAAATTCTACCATCTTTGATTTGGTGCTGGATGTTCTCCTATAATATTCTTACAGTTTCATGTATGTCAGAATATAAAAAAAATTAATTTAACCAACTCTCTGAGCTCTCAGCCAGCTATTATGCCCTGTTAATATAATATTTACAAAATGTTATTTAATTATGCATGTTAGGAAAGTTTGTAACAGCTTAAATATCAAGCATAAGGCCATCTTCTGTGAAAATAAGAACAATTGTGAAAACGTTTCCCACTGAAAAATTAAGGGTTGGATTGTAAAGACCAAGTCTTGCCTAAAATGTCTCTGGTTTACTTCCAAAGTTTTACAGTTTTGAGAGTATGTCAGAATGAGAAGTTCATTCACAGTCCCCTGATCACATGAGAGCCATTCCAAAGATGTCTGAATGCACATCTGAAGCACAACTGCAGGCCAAATGTTACTTATGTGCATATAATTAATATGTACTTTTTAAAAAATGTAAATATAACAGGGTCCACGTAGCAGTAGGCCAATAGGATATAGAGAAAGAAAATTCAGTCTTTCTTTCCTACCGTGGTCTTCATAAAATGTACTCCTCCCAAGCTGCTTCTACCATTGACAGAAAATCCCCTGTTGATGCCAGTGCAAGAGATTATAATTTTACTTAGGGTTATAACAGAATGGGAAGGTTTGAAAAAACTACACTGTATGGTCCCACTGCTGCTTGGGCTTCTCTGTAGTTGCTATATGAATTCCTTAAAATGTGCATGTTGGTTGCATTTACACAACAAATATTGCATAAATATGGACTTGAGGGAAGACAAAAAGAATAAGATGTGTTTCTTAATAATAATAATTTTTTCAACTTGTATGCCACCCAACCCAATAACTCTGGGTGGAGTATTAAGTATTAACTAGTATTAAGAGCTTCACATCCTTAAATTAAATGTCATGATATATTGGGGCAACTCTGTGCATACATCCATGTGTACAAGACAGGTGTGCAGCATCTGGTTATCTCCAAACTTTTTTGATATATAGAGTATGTCAAAATAATTTCAGTGATACAGAGAGGAAGGAATGAGGGAGATACAGAGCATGAGGTGAAAAAAAAACTCCCTTGTGTTACATCAGAGAGTGACACTCCTGTCTGTGTCCTTCTCCAACTCAGTTTTTAGAAGTTACTGCTCAATATTTAGCAAGATAAGCAATAATAGGTGATTAAACTATTTTCATGCTATTTGGGAAGATTTCAGGAAAGGAAAAATGACTTTTCTCACACTTGCTCTTTAAATCAGGCCTCTCCACATTATGGAGTAATAAAGCAGCTGCATAAGTAGCTCCAAACCCAATCATTTTATAATTTTATAGGATGATGAGGGAATGTTTTAGGATGAGGGGAAGACAAAAAAAAAAAGTCCTTTCCTTTCTACTCTCTTGAACCTTCCCCTCATCCTGTAAGTACTGCAGGGTAGTTGCAATTTCAGGCCAAAATGAAGGATCCCTTCTAGAAGCTAGAGAAATATTTTGTGAGTCCCAACTTATTCTGTTCTTTGTCTTATTTCTAGGGTGATCCAGGACAACCTGGGAATCATGGCTTCCCTGGAGAACCTGGTCCAGATGGTAAGCCTGTGAGTACTAAAAACTTAGTCATCTTTAGTAGTGTTTAATGCAAAACTGACAATAAATTGCATCAGAATGTTACTGTGGATAACAAATAATTCAGCCTAAACACACTCCTTAATATAAAAAATTAAGATCCCTACCTTGCATTGAAATGTTTATTACACAAAGAATTTGCCAGTGTTAATATTTTCCTTAATTTTAAATTTTACTCAAGCTTTTTGTATCATTTCCCAAACTTAATACTATGTTTTGTAGCCCTTTAACTCTACTGTTGTTAAAGGGACATACAGCATTGCCCCCCCCCCGCCCCCCCAAACTGAACGTTGCTCAGCCTGGTGCCCTCCAA